CACAGATAAATGACATTTACAGAGCAGTAAACAGTCTTTAGGACAGCCAGTCCTTCCAGACACATCACAATGAAGAGAGTTTTCCTTCCCCTTGCCACATCCAGCATTTAAATGATTTTTTTTAATAGCCAGGTCTGAAGTTAAAATGCCATAAGTGAACTGACCATGGGAGTCAGGAGGCACTCAGAAGCCCCAGAAGGGAAAACAAGCAGTATTCTTCAAGTTTGCTAGTTCAGGGGTACAAATCCCTGAGAACCAGAAATACAAACCCGTTTTCTTTGACAGAAAGATGTTTTTCAAAGGGCTTCGCCAACAGCTTGAGAGGATAAATGGTAAGATTGAAGAGCAAGAGGAAGACAAAGCGAGCAAGCCAGCATAGGGGGGTGCAAACTTAATGTCAGATACTGAGGAACAGGGCTGTGGGGCAGCCTGGGAAGCACTTCACAAAGGCTGCCTACTTGCCAGAGATATGCAGAGACACGTATGCACCAATGTTGTCAGTAAGATAGGAAAGATATTACAGTATAAGCCAAAATCTGTAAGTCCACTTGATTATAAACAGTACATAGCTGACCTCAAGAGTTAAACCATAAACAAGATTAAATGAAAAGCTACACTCCATTTTGAAGTCACTATCAGGCCATTAACTACTAGAAGCTAGTAGTTTTAAAAAAAGAAAACAGATGTATATCTATTCTATTGTTTGATGGCAGCACAGAATTACTCAGTTATGTTTATCAGAATAGCTTTTTTAATTCATCTGAACTGGAAACTGACCCATAAGCATGGCCCCGACCTTCCACTTCATGCCCCCGATGCTGCTGGCCATCAGAACAGCTCTGCTGCTTCTGCTTTTGTGAGCCATGTCCCAGCAGGGTGGTGTTCCCTGCTACAGGCTGTAGGGAGGGTTGACTGCATCCTTCCCTTTAAGCCTACTGTGCATATTGAAGTTGCATCGTTGAATTGATTTTCAATGCTGTTTAACATGTAGGCAGGTCAAGCCAACTGGACCAAACATCAGCACACCCATGCTGTTCACTGAGGCTGAACCAAACCTTCACAGTACTGGGAAAAAACTGCAGTACTTTCAGGCTTTTGAAACATTAAGAAGTCTGTTCTAACTGAAATACTTATCAAGCGCCATGCCAAGCAATGCTTAAAGTGCAGCATAAATGGTGGAAGCAATCAAAGCAGACCAGCCAAGTATAAAGATCTAATCTAAAGGGTAAAACAGTTTTCATGACTGCCACCTACAACCAGCTCCAGGCTTGGAACCATCAGCTACTAAATACTGAGTCTTAAGAGCAAGCTTTGGGTTCTGACCAAAGGTTGAATCAACTACCAGCAGGGAGAAGTGACCAAGCCTGAAACTGGGTCACCTTTAAACCAAATAGAAAGCAATAATGATTCTTATGTGAGGCCCTCACAGTAGCTGTGCTTGCTCAACAGCAGGACAGGACTTCAAAGAGAGATGCTAATAGCATGGGTCCTGTGCTATTTTAACCCACAATTTAAGTCACTTAAATAATTTTCCTCAAGAGGTTAGTAGTTAAAATCAAGCTATGCCAGCCCCACTTCCCCTCTTTTGTAAGGGAGCTCAGGGACTGCAACAACAGTGCATATTCATTGTGTTAGTTTGCCAGAGTAGGAGCAGCAAGTTCCCAGAGCTCGGCTGAGTACTAATGTTTAATAAAAGGCCTTTAGAAAACAGCAGCTACAGAGAAACACATCCCTTTTTCCTGAAAGGCCTTCTCCAGCGTGCTTATAGTAAGTAAGAAACACACCGAACCGTTGCAGCTTGATTCATAATAGCTTTTACCTATCTGATGTTATTTTAGGACATATGTTCCACATAAGAGAGATGTGCAGTTTTATGGAAGGATCACTTCTCTAAACAAGCTCTAGACCTCAGGCTTTTGCCCTCAATTTAGGTCACTAGTAATTGGGTGTGTGGAAAATGCACAGGCTCAGTGCAGTGTTGCTTAATTAATTTCTTAGTCCGTTGATTTGGCAGTTGTCCTACAAAACAGAACAGTTGGATATTTAAACTTGTATTGGAAGAATACATCATGACAATACTTAGCCACCCAAAAATAACCTCTTTCTGTACTAGTGACATAAATATTTTAAGTTGCCTCAGGTATAACATAAAAGCAGTTTTAGTTGCTCAGGTGAGACTACCAGCTTGTCAGTTAAAAGGTGCAATTTCTCCTCAATTGTGTTCTGATTAGAGAGAGAAAAAAGTCAAAAAAAAAACCAAAAACAAGCAGACTTTACCATGACCTGCTCATGATGAAGCACAGAATCAACAGGTACCAAATGCTTGCAGCCAATGAAGTAGAATCAGCCATAGCAAATTTCTGTCACATTCCCACTTGGTCAGTGCAGCACTATGAAGTTAAAGACACCGTTGGAAACAGTTCTGAACTGAGCTGGGCACCTTTCTAATACTGTAATTCCTCCTGAAACAAGACATCTGTGATGAAGACAAACTATGAATCAAAACTCCTCTTCTCGGAAGGTTCCTGCTGCAGCCGTTCAGCTGCCTTCTTGAAGGACACAGCACAGCCCTGCTGAGTCCCAGCCGTCCTGCCAAGCTCTGAGTTGGAGCTCGCTTTGCTGCCATCTATTTACTTCACCACAGATCCCATGTGCTTTAAGGTAGTTTTGGCTTGAGTGCAGACAGCAAGGGAGAATAGACAGCTGCCTCTCTGCAGGACTTTCTCTTGCTGCTGACCCTGGGGGCCGGACTGGCAAAGCTGTTGAAGGCTGCTCTACACAACCACCTTACATAACTATCACCTACTACTGCAGCAAGATACTTGGAACCAGGCAGTACTGCTGCTTGTTGTTGTTGTTTGTTTTTAAATGAAGAAACAGGTTTTGTGCATTTTAAGGCTAACTTAATGTCAACCATCTTGATTTTTGATATAAAATAAAAAGGCATCCCAACTGCTTTCTGTAAGTGACCTGTTCCAATGAAAAAGGCCTGAAGACTGAAAGATCCCTTTAACAGTACTGAAAGTAGATCTTTTCAAAAGCCTTCTATGCAAGAGCATAGTCAGATGGTTCTTAAAGTAAAAACCACATACAACAGTATTTGCAAAAAAGCTTAATGTAATCTTTCGAGTTCATCAACTCTAAACAATAAATACGAAAAAACGTACATGGCACATCAGAGCAGCTAAAGATTAAACAATTACAAACTGATAACGCTTGCCTATATTGTCAGTGATGTTTGTTTCACTAGTGTGATACAACACAAGTTTAATATACAAGATGTTTTTCAAAGGAAAATCAGAATCAAGTTGATACAGAAGGTGAAGGGCAGACAACAACTGACAAGGCACAGAAACCTCTCGTTGTAACCCTGTAAGGCACCACTGTGCAAACGTGAAAATCAAAACCTGTAGTGAAAAAAAAAATCAAAACATGGATAATGTAGTTTAAATATGACCATCTCTCTGAGAATAAAGACTTATGAACCTTTATTTACATTTATAGACTTTTAGAAAATAAGAGAGAAACAGTGACTTATACTCACCAAATACAAGGGTCAGAGTTAAATTTCACCCATATTTCACAAGTGCAATTCAATCACCACCTATATCAGCCCTACTAATAAAGTCCTGCATCCAATCTGGTGCCAAGGGGACAACTGCCAATTATGTCAAGTAATTTTAATAAAAGAGACTTCAGGAATTATGATGAGAATAAACTCGTTCTCCCATATCACTAAAAAGGATTTATAGCTAAAAGATAATCAGCAGGATTAATCTAAGGATCTTAATATCCAAAGTATTCTCTTGTACATCCACTAAAGATCTGGGCACTGACTTGTACTTCTCTGTTCTGTTACCTGCTCAGAAAATCAATCATGAGACAGAAACTGACAGAAACTTTCTCCCATACTAAAAGGCTACATACAGAGTTAAGTTTACATACCATACCATTTCCTTTATTTTTTTCCCCCCCTCTTATGTGTCAGGAAGTCTACTATATTCTGTTAGATGAAGTTTGCCTAACTACATATGTCCAGACAGGTTGGACAGGTTTTCACATGGAAAGAGGGAGCCTAATAACTAGTTTTCTCATAAAGAAAGGTTTAGTACGAGGCACTCAGTTTCTCATAAGCTTCAGACACACAAATAGAAGCTTTTTTGTACTTGGGAGCAATGCTAATTGACTACAATTCCAAGATTTCCGCTTCCATTCTCAGAACTTGGACAACTGCACAGCACACAGTTAAACAATCTGAATAGTCCAGTTTCATTCAGACACTGGCTAAGTTTCCTCCTGACGTGTTTTACTCTCTTTCTTCTACATTTAAGTACTTGCTACAAATCAAAACATTCAAGATCAAATACATGACCTGTAGCTTCAATTATGCTCAACCTACTGAGCTGCAAGAGAACAATATCAGGCCAATTTATATTTTAAACAATAGAGGAGCAGTAAGAAAGAACAATCTTCAGTAATAAATTAACATTCATATAGCTATTTGCTGAAAGGCTACGCCAGCTTAGGCATGCTTCATTCCCTGTGTTCAATCCTGTTTTAAGGAAAGAACACTTAGAGCAAATACAGCGTAAACAGTCAGGTTACGGACTGCAGTAGTCACAGACACCAGTATCACTGATCTGACAGGTTTAAGGCCAACAATTTATGATTTGAAATACACTATGCTTTTCCCTGGCACTTAATATACTGAATAATAGTACGGGGTGACATTTAGCAAGAATATACATGATTTTACCATATGTGATGTATGCATACACATAGCTTCAGTTCCCAAAATAGAAAGTTCAAGTTTTCTTGCCCACATAAAATCAATTTGTGAAAGACCACCTGTGTTTTCCTATACTGAATAAAGTAAGATTACCGTTTTAATTTAGTGCAAACTGACTTAAGTCCAAAGACTTAAGTCACCAACCATACCACTCCTCGATTTTTAGTCACTCTCACCAAGTGTATTTTAAAAGAAATAGAGGCAACTACACTTTTTTTTATGCGTATAAAGAACAGCAAACACCTGACAGCTAGCATGCTGTTCTAGTCTACATCAACAAAACTTGCAGATATACAAATCATGTTTTGGTCATGCAGCACAGACCCATCCTCAAAAACAATCTGTCTTTCAACTCAGCCAGTCTAGGACAGAGGAGCGCCGTGCCAGATTTCAGCAGGTCATCCTGGCCACTCCGTACTCCAAGCTGACAATAGCAGGCTCAGCTTTTGAAAGCTCTTCCATGAATTCACTGTAGCGATTGTCTGCTGCGTTGCTGCCCTCTATAGTTCTTACAGCATCGTTCAAAGGGATCAGAGGCTGGTCCTTCTTGAAGCATGGAGGGGTTTTCAGCATCACAGGTGCAGGATGAGCAGACTGCTGACGTTCTTTCAGAAGGACTGCATCTGACTGTCCACTCTTCTGCTTTATTTTCTGAAATAGAGAATAGTTACCACTGATCCACTGATGACATTCTGGCTTGAATGCAGATGAATACACTTTTGCTCACCAACTCAACTTCTGCAAAACCCTTTATTACACACCCTGGACTAGATATGTAATAAGATGTTACACCACTGGGTAAGCCAGCATTTTTCTACAGTTTACAACAGGTGCAACAAGCACTGTATGCTTATAAACAGCAGCTGAGCAGAAGAGAGAAAGTTGCTTGTTAGTTTAGTTCATAGTGAAGGAGGAATACTTTCAGGCTTGTCCCTTGTCTGATTGCTATTAGGACAGAAATACATTTTGGAGTACAAACAAAGGCCTCAATACGAACAGCAAGCAGGGAGCTTGCAGCAGAAAAGAAGTCTCTTACAGAGAGAAAACACAGTGTCATAAGCCCCTTATATCTTTCCTAAAAAATTCCTACATGATTTAACTAGAAAGTAGATAGAAAAAGACCTACTCTGAAAGCACAGAGCAAGAGAAGTGGGAAGATCTGGCTAGGGTGTTCTTTTTTTTTTTTTTTTTTAAATTCAAACTTCTCACTCGTAACTGAGAGTTTGAAATAGTTCTTTTTTCTTCTTATTGATGTCTTCATGCTCCACTACAACCTATAAAGAATCCAGAAAGCTTCACTGTCTTTAACACAAACTTTTTTGAAGACGAAGACAGTAGCAGAATGTCTAAGAAAATATTTAAAATTAATTCAGGTGAGAAATGCCCGTGTGAAATTCACACTTTTCAACAAGATTCTAGAAAAATGAAGTTTTCATTCTGAATTTTCACCTTGCTTACTTTGCATTCTGCTTCATCTTAAATTTTCACTTTCATTCATCAATTATATAACACAATTTAAATAGATAACTAAGACTTGAAATAGAGTTAATTTTAAGAGACCTGAATTCATTATATTAGGGTAGAATTTGTCTCATAAAACCATCCCTCCCCCCCACACAATACAATATATAGAAGTCAAGTGTTACCATTTCTAGCAACCAAAAGAAATACAACTCTAATTTCATACTGCACAGCAGAAGGCAGCAATAACAAACAGCTCCTTCTGGGACACAAGCACTATGGAGTAATAGAAGATGATAAAAACCAAAAATTAGCTCATGTCTTCTGACAATTGGTGATGGTTTGAGAGGAATGCTATCTCTATCCAGAGAGGGACTGCTCCCTTGGCTGCTAACACTTCAATGAGAGTGAGGAGGGGCAGCCCAGGGTCCACTCCTTCCACTCACTCAGGTGCATTGCTTGCACTTGAGCTCCCTTAGTAAGCCATACCTTCTTACCTGGTGCTCAACCATTGGCTCAGGCCATGACCTGACAACTCCACTGCATGTACGTTAGAAAAGTTTTTGAGTTCAAGAGAAATTGTTTTGGAGTTTAGCACCTTAACTGGCATAAAACAGCATCAGTTATACATCACTCATTAATCCACGACAGAATGAGGTGAGATGTTCTGTTCAGTCCTCCCTGACCGTTTACTGTAGCAGACCAGCAGTCAAAGAAACCTGGTCTCTGTGTAATGCTTACTTGCAGACAAAAGTAAATCCAATGTACATATCCCATAGTTAAGGTGACTAAAAGTTCTATGCATCTGCATATCCAGTTAAGGAAAGAAGGACAATGATTAGGGCCTCCTGTTTTAGTAGCTACAGCTGAAATAAAACATTTTTAGCCTATTTAGTTTAGCACCACAGTTTGCAGCTATGATGAGTGCCTGTCATCTAAGGTAAGTCCCACAGATTTAACCTACACTATACCATCTCCAGTTTTGCTTTGGTAGTAGAAGCAGTTCTACAATTTATTTTGCCTTACTAAAGAACTATATAATGTATTTAAGAAGCATACAGTGAAAGGAGAATTCAATACTATATAGAACAAGTACTGGGACACAGAACAGTAACATTCATATAAAAGCTAGCTGCATTACTACAGGCTTTATACATGAATGTGAGGAACAAATCACAGGTAAATACACTTATTTTGTAATACTTACAGCTTCCAGTTGTTTGATGTCTTCCTCCAATTGTTTATTTTGTTCACTCATGTCCATGATGAGATCATACACAGACTGCCTGGGATGCATGCTTCGATCAAACTGATGGTACATATTTCTCCAAAACCTGCATGTAGCAGACAGTTTTAACTATGTGTAATGTAAACAAAATTGAAGAAAAATACAGTATATAGTTCTTACTTACTTGAAATTGAATGACACAGTATTAGGCTCCAAAAGAGTTAGATTCGGAGAAAAACTTGGTTTATATAGAGGATTCTGGTATTTCTTTTGTTCATCTAGAAGGAAAGGCCACAGGGAATATGTCTTCTCTTTTAACCTTAAGGCAACAAGAGATCAAATCAAGACTCTGACTATAAGTAAAAAACAGAAGCTATTCAACACAGTAAATCCATCCTTAATTATTCTTTAAATAAGTTAAAAGAAAGAATTAGAAGTATTTTAATTCAAAATTTGTAAGTTGAACTTATTCCTGTCATCTGCTAATGTTGGACAAAAGTATCAGTTATAGAAGAAATAATGTTGTGCAAGTTTTCTCTCATTGCAACAAATGCCTTTTAAATACTTAAAGATGAAAATGAGATGTTGAAAACTTTCCAGAAGTTTTCCAACTGAAAGCATTGAGACATCATATCAATACTTCCAAGAGTAATTACTGTCAGTAAGAAAGGCAAACAATTCCAAAGTTGCCTGAAAACAGACTAGGGGAAGCAATGAGGTGATGCTTCCAACTTAAGCGTAACCGTTTTTAGAAAAAAGGAGGGAGAAAGGTGCCTTGACTTCCCCTACAAAAGATGACAAAGGGATTTTCTCCCACAGTTATATATAAAAAAGCACTCAGCGTGCAAAAGCATGAAAAGCACTGCTGTTCTTCACCGCACTTCAACATTGCTGCCTATCCTGCCAGTTTAGTTTTCAGTGCAATAGAGAAGATTCACAGAAGTTCTTAGTCTGCCAAAACAAACAAACACAATGCATCTGCTTACTTCAGTTCTTCTCGTTCCTTTTGGCAATTTCCAAGGAAGTTCCCAAACTGGCACGAGTGGACATGTTCATGGATCTGAAGGAGGAAAGCTTCATTGTACTCAAAGGCTTGTGGGAACTGCTCAGTCAGATTCCACACACTCTCTAAAAACTGAGTGAACACTGGCGAGATCTCTTTTGGATCACCATCCAACTGACAGCACCTGGAACGTGAACAGATGCACTGGTTTAAGTTGGCAATTGAGAACAAGTGCAACTATGGTTTTTTAACTACAGCATGTTAATTTGACACAACTCTTGATTTGGAGATTGAAGACCTAACTTTGAGAACTGGGACAATTCAACGCCTGATGGTACAAAGACCTCTGTTTTTAACTTGCCTTGATCACACACAACATCTAAAAAACTGAGAGTTATTTCATCATCACAAGTAAGGATAAATGCAAATCCAAGCATTTAAGAACAAGGCAACAGTGACTTATGCCTGCAATAAAACAGCTACTCAATAGGTATTTAATTAAATAACAATACCCAAAGTCTACTTACTGCTTACTCACTGCAAGTTTTCTAGCAACAATACAGAAGTTTAAAATGCACAAGCAGTTTTCTCCTTTCTTCTCTAATACACATGTCAAAGTATTAGAACAAAATACTGTCACTCTTTTTTTGTAATATTTGTCACTCATTTCACTACATACATTCCTGAACATCAGAAGAGCAAACTACCTGTCAGAGAACTTGTGCCCGAAAGAAATCCAGTCTTTCTCTATCAAGACCTAGAGGGTAAAAAACACAAAACAACTAATGCAAAATTTTACTAAGTCTGGCATCCACAGAATTAACCTCAACAGGTTATCGATGTACTGTATTTTAAATCTGACTCAATTTAACTACAGTAGAAGCAATTGTGTATCACTTCATAGCTCCTTCATTTCCTGGAAGATTTTTTTTTTCCTACATGAGATGTGCAAGTCATATTTCTAAAATTAGTAAAAAGAGCTGAACAGGCTGACAATCAGAAACCTACTGTTAAAGCAGATACACTTTAAGCACATGAATACTACACAGTTTCACACCTAAATGGAGTCACATAAATGAATTATCAATTTACAAAAAATAAACTGCTGAGTATGGGAAAAAGTTTAGTATTGCACTCCTGCTACTACAATTTTCATAAAATCACACAATACCATCTTCACATTTTATAGCAGTAAAATTGTTAATATCAACACTAGCTTTTTTTTATCACTTCAGTTGTAATATCAGGCACTAAAAAGTGCAGAGGACTGATTGCTCATTGCAGAAGGTTTCCCAAAACTTCTAATCAAAAGTAAGGATAAAGACAAATAAAATAAATGATTAGATGAAGTCCTTAAAGATCACAGACATTCCCACTATCCATGAGTAATTTATCCACCAATTCCTTCTCACTCTAGCTTTTGTGGCTTGTATTATTTGTGGCAGTTAGCCTGTAATGAATACATGGAACGCGATTTGTGTGTGAACTGAAGTGTTTCCATAACTGGGAAGTTTTAATTCGCCACACTAAAATCCTTTACTCCTCTCATGAGCAAGATGAAATACTTTAGTTGCTAAAATATGTTCAGGTCTCTAGACTGCTGTTTGGAGGGGATGTCATTCAGATTTTAGTGATATTGATTTGGGACAAATAACGAAAGCTTATAGCTGCTAGAATTTAGTCTTCTATCTCATCAGCACTTCAGAATCCCTGGATTTCATAGGTAAGCTTTTTGTTATTTTAGATCGAAGAGGCAGTTATTACATTTCTGCAGGGTGCCAAAACAATCTGCTATTTGTATTTCAGTCTCTTAGGTTATTTTAAATGCATAGTGCTTCCCTACTGTAAACTATTTCTAACACAAATTCTGCAAATATGATTCTATATTTGTAATTAGAAAAAAAACAAACATCGCTTCAGTTATGCTGTTCACTTCCACACAAACATTTTACATTCTTTGATTTACCACGGAACAATTCAACAATACGACAGCTTCCTTACCATGAACCCCTTGATTGTTCTGTAATAGGAATCTAACAAGAGAGCTCCAAGAGAACAAACTTGAGACGTCCTATCCCAGCCATCTGAGCAGTGCACTAACACACTCGCGCTCTCAACTGCTACTGCCTGCAAAACATTTGTTTCCTTAGTGAACACTCTGCTGTTTGCATTGTTCAGACATAACTTAGTTATTACACATAAAAGCTATATTTTTCCAAAACTCACAGCATTGTCTATTTTTCACACTGCAAGAAAAATATTATGGGAGAAGTTATTAGGTTAGGTATTAGGAGGAAGTTTTTCCACACAGAGGGTGGTGACACACAGGAACAGGTTGCCCAAGGAGGTTGTGGATGCCCCATCCCTGGAGGCATTCAAGGCCAGGCTGGATGTGGCTCTGGGCAGCCTGGTCTGGTGGTTGGTGACCCCTGCACATAGCAGTGTGAAACCAGATGATCTTTGAGGTCCTTTTCAACCCAGGCCATTCAAAGAAAGAAAGCTACTTCAAACCATTCCCTCCCTGTGAAGAAAAGAAGCCGTTTTTGCAGAGCTTTATATTTTAGACAATATTATAGCATGTCAACCTGCCCTCAAACAAAAGCAGCCTACAAAGTACCTTGACAAGGAAGACAGCAGCATCCAAAACAGCTTTGATATGACGCAACCATCCAGAATTCTCCAAACCAGACAAGAAGTCATTGACAGACAAACCCTTTGTGCCGCTGACTGAAAGAAAATGAGATGAGAAAGCTGTAAGCAGTTGCAACTCCAACATCCTACAATGGAAAGAGTGAATTCAGCAGTATAAAATTATTTTTCTATGTTCTAAGTTGATTTGACATCTCTATTAGGAAACCACCACACTCAAGTGATTACGAGAAAGGCAGTACAAAGTATGTTTTTCATCCAAAACTCTACTTCACAGAATTGAGCAATGACAAGTGATAAGAATAAGATCTTCATGTATATCTGATGAACCATTCAAAGTAAATACACTGGTTACCCCCAGCAGGGAGCTATAACTATTATCCTATGAAGAAAAGGGACACAAATGCTGAAGAGCTTCCCAGAAATACTTACAAATTATTACTAGCACTAACAAAGTAACTGCAGCCAAAAAACACAGTTTCAAGCAGTCAAGATGTGTTTCATCACCCTCTCTGCTCTGCCAAGAAGAACAAAGTGTGTGTGCAACACAAGGAGAAGGTGATGAACTAAAAACCATGCAGATTTTGTCTGCCTCCAGAACTTACATACTACAACACCGACTGATGTTCACCATTCTCCCACAGCGCACTTTGATCCCACAACAGTAAGACCAACTGAGGGAGAAGAGCTCAAATTAAAGGCAAGCTGCTACAGTATAGCAGCAAGAGGCATAGAGGTAGACCAGACATTTTCTCATAGGGATGTTACCAGTTCAGAAATGAGATATATGACTTAGTCCTCACAGGACATCAAGCACCTACCAAATGTAGAAACTGATTTTTTACCAACCCTTTAACACATGATTTGAAACACCTCTTCACAGTTGCATTATTATCTAAACACAACTAAACAAGGAATTTGGGGGTGATAGAATTTACAACTGATTCACCTTCATCTGTGTGTGATTCTTAGAGATAATACCCGAAATTGTAATCTACAAATATATCTGACAGAGGAAAGCTATTTTATGCCAAGCTATTTATTAACCCAAATTAAAAACAAGACAATACTGTAGCTGAAAATTAGTAGTGGAGGCACTCATACAGCAGTTATAAAATAACCTTTATCTCTGAATTGGGAGGAAATGAGTCAGCAGGAAAAGTCAAGGACAAAATTCACCAAGTCATTCTGTGACGCAGTTCCGTATTCACACAAGCAATCTGATGTAACAAAGACCAAGATCTCAAAAACAAAAACAACCCACCAACAATAAAATAGCCTTCTGGAGCCTTTGTGCATCCACATTGTGTTTTTTTTTTAGCTTTCAGTCACACAAATTTTGGTATACTCCCTATTGCTCAGGAGGACTCAATGCCAGCTGCTGCTGAATGTTGTAACAAAGACAAATTTCCAAGTAATAATAAATTTCCAAGTAATGCAGCATCTTTTCTAAAGCCCATAGGTCTCCCTTCACTCCAAGAAAAGGAGCTAGCAAAGCACAGTACAATGAAATAACAAAACACTGACGTACTCCTGGATACAAGACCTAATTTTAAGGGGCAGCCTATAAACATCAGTAAAATCAGCAAAAAACTGTGTCAGTTTTCTGTGGTCACTGAAAAAATAAAGTAGTATAATTAGGCAAAAGTTTTGCTTCAGAAAGATGACCCACATGACAGCGAAGGAATCGGAGAACTACCAGATACTTTCAAGTTACTGACACTAACAGTTTGTGAAAAACTCTACCTGTGCTTCTATATATCTGTTAAACCACAACAGCACATAAGTAGGTCCACCACTCCAGGATAAAGTAAAAATGTCCCCCCAGAAATCTAGAAAGCCAAATATCTGCAAGGAACAGACTGGACAGAGAAGGTAATACCTGCAGCCATTATTCATGACTTCACACCCCTACACTCTGCAGCTTAAGGCAGAAAGACTAAGCTGTTAGCAACAAAATAAACAGGTTTCCAGGCCTCAATTTGCTTTCACTCAGATACTTCTGTCAAAACCAGCTTTTGATCAGCATTTTCAGCTTGGAAGAAATGCTTTGTCTGGTATCTTCTGCTTCCAAACTCCTATCATTTCATAACTCAAGGCAAAAATAAAAAACATATGCAAAGAACCAATAATCAATTTTCTATTTTTGTGAATTAACACAGACATTTTATACCAAGGGGTGAAACAAAGAAACTGCATTAACAACTTTGTGCTAAACAATCATTTCTGCTCCCTTAAGCTTCCCAAATGAGTAAAAGATTGGTTTTGGCACCATTAAGTAGTTTAGCGACTTCACAATAACTATTCTTTAAGATAATTCTGGCTATAGGGATCCCATCATAAAGACATGCCCTGCATGCACATGGGCCCAAAGGATTACTTTGTTCCATTACACATTTGTCCTTACACTCAGACTGCAGTGGCATCACAAGGTGACTGGATCCTGCAGTCAGAACCTGGTGGCTGAAGCACGGTAAATTAACACAGGGCATTTTTAAGCAAAGAACCACCCCACCACACTCCACGTAGCTTTCAAAACACTTGCTTAATACACTTCCACCACCATCAGCAAGTATGTAGCAGATCACAGAGACTATTATTTTCCCTCCAAACATATGAACTGAATTGTTAATGCAGAAAACTTTAAGCCTTTTTGCTTATCTGAATACAAACTTCTCAGATGTGTAACAGTATATTTTCAAATGAATATACAAAGGTCAATTTTTGTTTAATAGAACAGCATAGACACAAATAGTCTATGCAAAGAATCTTCAATCAGTGTTGTAGAGATGGACAGTCTGCCCACTGGGAGAGCAGTCATCACACGTCTTAAGCCCACACTTAGGATGGCTATTTTAGAGGAGCTTGTTCCACTGTATTCAGGACCTTTAAAGCAGCAGCTGAATCAGAAAAACAGACTGAAAAGCCCCCTAACATGCTTCATTAGAGAATGATGTTGCCAAAGATCCTGTCTTATGTTCCATATGCAAGCAAACATCTTCTCAACCCTTTCATTAGATTGTGAAGGAAGTCAGGCAGACAAAGAGCTTAGAATCAGAAACACACTAAAAGAAGAACAGTTGTTTGTTATAAATAAAACCGACAACAGTCCCAGTTTGAAAGACCTGAAAGAATAGGGTCATTGGCATCACACTGTTGATCAGAGAAAATTCAGTTCAGCATATCTAGAAGAAAGCCCAAACACAGAAGTTACATGGTACTTTTCCTCATTCAAAGTTATGAATCTTTCTCATAGCATTTCCTTCCTATCACCTTACTAACAACCTATTTCTACAGAGGTCTATAAGGTTGGTTACTGCATGCCTCTCTAAGTTTTCAAAGTCCTTCCTGCCACTAAAGATGCATATTTCATATTTTCCCTGGAAGACACAATTCCATTCCCCTCTTCTCTTCCCTTTCCAGTATCCCAAGAGGTAACCAGTAATAGCACTTTCACATTAGGAACAGCATTTGAAAGTGTAGAGGAAATCCAGGACAGCCACTCCATTATCTTAAACAGCTTCAGGTTTTAAATTTCCCCACTGAAAGAAGTAAGTTACTAAAAGACATCCTTGAAAGCCAACAAGACTTAGTTGAGAAGATTGATGGTGCAATTCGGATTAAAACTCCCTGGATAGGAAGTTGGTACAAACACCAGTAACAAAAAACTGCCAGGAAATGTTTTGCCTCCACTATTCCTACATAAAAAGTAGAGTTTAATGTATTCAGAGCAACAACAGCAATTAGATTAAACAATCCAAGAGATCATAGATTTCTAATCATTTGTCTTATTGCTGTTACGTAGCACTTTCTAAAATCTGGAAACACCTCATTTCAACTATCCCTCTCCTTCAGACCTAGTGTATCTCAAAGAAAGTCCAAAGGGACAAAGATAGCAACGTTCACAAGCAAAGTGATTTAGCAAGCAAGCTCTTACTGCAAAGTCTGTTTGGCAATTAATACAGATGGAGGAATCTGCAATGACAAACTAAAAAAACATCTACTTACAGACCAGCTGAACAGAGCTGGAACAATTGTGTCCATTTACCCCAAAACCTGAATTAGAGAACAACTGCAGAACTGTTGAGACATTTTGTTGTTGTTGTTGTTCTATTTACAGAAACTAATTCTCCACACAAGTTCAAATGCAAAAGATATTCCATCCTTAAGGAAATGTATTATTAAAGAAAAATATATTGTAAGGATCTGTTGATAGGATGCTACATCAAGTGGAAACAAAGCCCAAAGCTTTACTGGGAGGCATACGCTCGTATCACTTCATTATGCAGGAGCAGTACCTTAAAATAAACCAACATTTATGAGCTAGTTCTCTGGAACTGAAGAGATCTGCAAGAGAAATAAGGATTACCCCATACTATTACCCCATACTTCCAAAAAAACTGAAGTTCAGGCTCACACTGCTCATCTTTCCCTTCAATAAAGTATACACAGGAATAATCACAAAAATACATAATCAAAGCTCACGTATTATTTCACATAGAATACCTGAAATATAGGTTAGCAGTAAATACAGGCTCAATGAAAATGAAGCAAGATCACACCAGTGGCCTGTAAAATTTCTTGACCAAAATAGCCAGAACATCTTCATTAAGAGAGGCAAGTATAACCCTTCCCCATGCCTGGAAATATAAGGATAATTCTAGAAGGATTCTAGAAGGAAAGTGCTTATACATACGTACACTATTAGTCACACTTGTAAGTCTGACTTCTGTCACTGTACTCTAATTACAGCATTAATATTGCACCAAGTGTCCTAGATTTGTTTTCAGCTGATTACCTTAGTAAAACATTAAGGAAACTAATTAGAAAAATACCATTAACATGGATTTCTGCCTCACTGCTTTCACCATACTGTGAACTGGGTCACTTGTTTTCCACTCCCCTCCATTCCTTTCTACCAAACGTTCTGTAAGATGCATCTACAAGCATAGGAGTGGTTTGCCAAGACAAAGAGTTCAAGTTTTGTACAAACCATACAGTTATTCTGAGTTCTGCACAAGTAAGCCCCTTTAACAATTACTGTTCTATAAAGAAAGATGCATGTATATACACAAACTATTTTATTACATATATATTCACATACCTGTATGTATATACGCATGTATACTTGAAAAGGAGAAGTCTTTCCCATAAGCCACTGACATAGTAATTAAGTACACTCAACACAGGTGCCAGTTCTTTTTTCAAAGTAAAACCATTCACTGGGTTTACAGTTTAACAGTAAGGGTTTAAGGCAGCTCACTACCAGAATGGAACACAGTCAGCTAGTGCTAAACGTGAAGCTTGGATAAAAATGCTGAAATCTCAATACAGTTTAAGCTATTACTAAGTATGTCAGAAGAAAACTTATTTTATTTCCATAAACATTATTATAGTACAGTTAGAACATACCTTCCAGAAGTTTTTGTAAGCTGGATCTCATCACGTGAATATTTTCAATTCCAACAAACTGGAACCTAATGTTAGAATAGTTATCTTCATTTTCATAGCCCTTCCCAGCAGCTCTGTTTGCCATCGCATTAAGCTAAGATAAGAAAATTGAAGTATTGAAAATCAGCACTCAAAATGTCAAATTAAGAACTAAGATTATGCGATTTCAGTGGAATACACTGGGCAAAAAACACACTAGAGCACATGCTATGAATCACGTCTAGAAAACTAACAGTTTGTTAAACATCTAAGTATAAGAAAAGTGTAGTACACAGAAAGTAAAGTCTACATTCAAAGCTGACACCTCTGAACAATGCTTTTGAGATTTTCCTATTCTCTCCTCCTATTTTATTCTGCCTCCTATTTTATGTTGGCCCACAACATCAGAGGCAGATGTCGGTGGTATAGCAGTAGAGGCTGAACATTCCCACCAACATTCTGCTATATGTTACTGCTGTGTCACAGATGGCAGCAGAGGGGCAGGTTGACAAAATGGTGCCTGACATGGAAGTGCGTATGGAGCAAAGGTGTGTTACTGAATTTCTCCACATGGAAAAAAATGCATTCACTGACACTCGTTGACCTTTTCTGAACATTTCTGGAGACCAAATAGTGGATGTGAGTACAGTGAGGTGGTGGGTGGCACATTTCAGCAGTGGTAACAGTGTATGAAGCAAGACACATTCTGGATAGCCATGCAGATTTTTTATTTTTAAATGAGTGCATCAAGCTCTTGTTTATCACTGGCAAAAATGCATAGCTAATGGTGGTGCCTACACTGAAAAATAGTGTTTCGTAGCTGAGTGTTATCGTTCTCTATCTGTTGTAGTTCCTATGGAAATAAATAGGAAGCATTACTTTATGAGTGACCCACATAGAATCATTTCACTTGGAGAAGACTTTCAAGTTCAAGTCCAACCATCAACTTGATCATGTATATGTGTTTTGACTTAAGAAAGCAAGTGCTTAATCACTTGAATATTGATGCTCATCCTTACCTTTAAGGAATAGCCAATATAGTCATATTTTATGTGTAACATGGAAAGATTAAGAGTTATGTCAGTACTCCTCCAATGTGCAGGAAGAGAGGCTGTTCTGTAGCCCTACATACCTTTGGCCTGGTGTCCATAACATACATGTAGCGATTTGAAGGATTTGCTTTACTGATTGCTTGCAACATGTGTTCATCTTCCAGGCACCTGGCGCTGAAGCCTGAGAGAGGTTGGCTGCATCTGCAGATTGCAGCCTATAAGAGGAAACAAATAATAGGTTAACATCAGTTTAATATCAGTTGAAAACACTTCCCATAAGTTTAAACAATTTTATTTGACAGTTAAGCATACTGCAGGTTGAAATACCTGTCAGATTTTAAAACAGATAAAGCCTACAATTTAAACCAAAGGTTTTATCAAAACATTTTTTCCAGACCTATCCACGGGGGCAAGGTACTGATTTACATAATGAACTTCAACTGCAAAAATTCAAAAAGTATAGGCTAAGAAATTAGAAAGAAGCACTTCAGAATCTTAATAAAGAAAATTTCTCTTGATATGAAAAATTACAGTTAAGTTTTAACTACTTTATGTATGGTTTTACTGTTGCAAGTATATGTTACAGTCTGATGTAGTTTTCACCACATCATTTTTGACAATCCATCACCCTTGTGAGGGTATCAGGCACATTTTCCAACTAGTAATCATTTTCAAATGTATCCACTAATTCAATGTTTACTGTTCAAAAATTCTTCAGCTCACCAAGGTGACAATCCTGCTCTCCCTTTAAAGATACACCTATCTAGAGACAGGCAGAAGTTGCTTCATACCTCTGTCTACTCAATCTTGCAAAAAATCTTACTTTTCACTCCCTAGCTCACTTTTCTCTTTGCAAATTACTCCTTACAGGATAAATTATATTCTTTGGAAGGTCTTCTTCCCCCTTGCCCATTTTGACATAACAGACTTTACTCTGAATTTATCAAGAACTTGACAAAAATCTATCTTCAGTTAGTCTTATGTTCAGTTTCTGAAAGCTTTAATAGATTCAACTGATCACTGAAGGATTTCTGTTAAACTGGCTTAGCTTAATTCAGCATCTTGTTAGACTCTACTAATGTCAGCCCTACTTAAGGGTACCATGCATTATACTGTTCTAATTCAAATCAGTGTACTTACTTGCTTACTTACCCTGAACTATCAGCAAATGTTGAGAAATACTTTTCAGACCACTTGCATTAAGAAGAAAACAGATCATACCTTTTTATCTTTATGATAGTAGGACAAGACTGGGAATCTTCCTTTGCTTCTGAACTTGGAGCTACCAACGATTATGGGTTTGCTTGCAGTTCTGGGAACATAAAGTTCTCTAGGATATGTTTCACAGATCTGAAAGATAGAGGTACATTTGAAACATATGTATATATATATATATAAGCACTGTGCACAGACCTGTAACTAGGTACAAAATCCTACACTAGTTTAGTTCCACCCAGTTTTCTGAGCAGGTAAACTCCAACATAGTTTCTCAATATACACACAAGCCTCTCTGAAAAGAAAATATAGCCAAAAAGGTATAAAGTAAGGTCAAATTGACAACCGATCACTGCTGGAAAGCATTGCTATATCAGCATTCACCTTAAGAATCCAATTTTTTGGTACAACTGTTGAGAATGTGTTTCAAATAAGATATCGAAGCCATTCCCATCATTTTTTAAAGTTGCAGACTACAAAGAAAGACAAAATCTATTCTGGGAAGCAGCTGTAACACCAGAGTCATCGTCTACCACACCCAGCACTGCAGATCCTAAGGCAGAGTCCCTCTCTCAGTTAAGAGAGGAGAGCAAAACTTCAGAGCACCTGTATCACTGGGGCTGGGCTTCAAACAATTAAGTCTACTCAAGCAATTCCAAAGAACATATACATCCATGCACACATACTCTCAGTGAGGCCTTTTAAAATAAACTTGAGTTAGTGAGTTGGGAGACTGACTACTGATTAAGGAATAAAGTCTTTTCACCTGGAAGTTCTTCACTTGTACTGCAAGCCAAGTGAATTCACAGAATTAGAGAGCCTTCTATTGGACCAGAGCAGAGAATAAAGCAAAAAAAAAGACACAGAGCAGAATATTTTTTCCACTACAACCCTTACCTTATAATCACGATTTGCATCGGACAACTGCCAGTAATCATTTGGCACTCCCATTCTCTTATATTCTTCTGCTAGATCAATAAGCTGCCAGCCTTTGACTTGCTCAGATTCATTTTGCTTTGGATTATAGGAGAAGGCATACAGATCTTCATATTTTGCTAAAAGGTGAAGAAAATTAAGATCGTGTAATGAGCTGCCCCAAGAATGGAGGGGTAAAAAAGGTAGCACAGTTGACAAAGCTTGAATTGAAGAAGAATCAAAGAATGATCTGGATTGGAAGGAACCTTAAAGCCCATCCAGTTCCAACCTCCCTGATGCAGGCAGGAACACCTCCCACTCAAATCACACTGCCCAGGGTCACCATCCAACACTTCCAGAGCCTCTCTGGGCAGCCTGTGCCAGTGCCTCACCATCCTCATAGTGAAGAATTTCACCCTAATACCTAGCTTGTATTTCCCCTCTTTTAGTTTAAAACCATTAAATTTCAGGCTTCATGATTCTCAGACATGAGTTAGTAGATATTTGGCACTTCTAAAATATTTGTTCTGCAACATCTGTACAGTTAATGCCAGTTAAAGGTAGGTTATACAAACCCTCCTGAAAGAACAGGCTTTATTTCAGTAGGGACATTTGTGAAGTCACACAAATGAACAAAGCAAGAGTTACAGAATGAAGACTAATAAAATAGCCTATTATTAGAAAAAGCTTCACAAAAGCTGGAAGAGCAGACATCATCTTTAGAGATGAAAAAACAAATCCACTGAATATTAAAAGCAATGTTAAAGCTTTCTTTAAACTGAAAAAGCTTTCAAAAATATTTTCTAACATTTTTCTAAAACACCACTCATGTATGACAGAACTTTACATTGTTCTAAATACTTAGAAGTGCAGAAGGCCACACTAAGTGACAGAAGTCTCTATTAAAACTAAATTGATAGTGTTATTTTAGTATCAAAACTTCAGCTTCAAGTTGCATTAATGGAATGTTGCATTCTCCTGGACAACATCAGTGAGCTACAAATGCCAGACAACACAACAGCTTCTGAATTTGTGTACAGATTAATACTTCATTAATAACATTTTTTTTTACATATCAAACTTTTTTAATGCACATTTCTCAAAAACAAAACCCACACATGGAATTTTTCTCATCAACTTATTACCCAGGCATACTTCACAAAGTCTTTTGCAGTTAGAAATCTCACCTGTTTTTGACAGCTGCAATAAGGAGTTATAGATGTCATGACAATCTCTCTCTCTGGGAACAACAAAGTGGACTATTCTGAAGTTCTTACATTGGATGACAAGGGGGCAGCCAGAAGTAGTCAAGGGAAGCTTTTCCACTGCAGCAATGTGATGATGTAATATCTAGGACATATAAGAACTGACAGTGTTAAGCCTGCTGGTGAAAAATGAGAACAGCATAGTGTATTCAAGATCAGAGATGAGAGATTAAACTCGGCTGAATATGGATTTTAATTAGATTTGTCAATGTTACAGTTATAAAAAATATATTTAGAAGAATAAACCCAATTCTGGCATTCTTTCCTCATATTTTGAAGTGTCACCTTATATTAAAATACAAAAACAAACAAAAAAAAAGACATAATACATATCCTTCTAAACACAGAAATCAAGAAATAGAACTCCACAGGGTAATTTCTATAGCTCTGCTAACTAAACAGCTTATTTGGACCTCACCTAATGGGATACAAGTTGTTTGACTTCTTTTGTATGTTTTAATAGATCTAGAGGAACATGCTTCCTTGTGCTTCACAGAATTGTGCAATAAGTCAGAGAAAGTAGCAACATATGGAAGATAGTGAAAACTTTAGAATTACAATATTTAGAATTGTTTGCCTTTTGGTACAGTTAACATTTAATATTTTGTGCATCAGTCATCTACTTACATCAGCTTTCTAACATTCAAGCCAGGAGTACAACTTCAAATCACCGACAGGGATAAGAGAAACCTCTCCTGTACTATTATTGCACTATTATTGTACTATTACTGTACTACTGCCAAGGAGGTTGTGGATGCCCCATTCCTGGAGGCATTCAAGGCCAGGCTTGGATGTGGCTCTGGGCAGCCTGGTCTGGTGGTTGGTGACCCTGTACATAGCAGGGGGGTTGAAAGCAGATGATCTTTGTGGTCCTTTTCAACCCAGGCCATTCTATGATTCTGTGATTATCCATTGTGTTTTTGTAGACATGACAGTCTTAGCTAAGTGACTTTCAATTACTTTTGCAAAAGACTGTCATAGGGATGGGAATCTGTGCTAAATCCACAGAAAGTTTGAGAAATGCATGAGAAAGTAATGACTGCACAATCCTGGGAAGAAAGCCACAGATAATTACCTCATCTGAACAAGATCTTCTCAACAGCTTTTCAATTACTTCACCAAAGCAATCATCTTCTCCTCATAAATATTGATCAGAATTAGTTATCTGAAAACTACGCTGCCAATTATGCATTTATAAAGAGAATATACTATGAAGAGAGACATTATTATGATTATACTTGATAGTTGCATTATCATTGCATAAATGCAACATTCAAAGTACAGGTTTAATATCACTTAAGTAAGATCTTTAAAGCTGTGCACAAGACGACACAAACAAGGCTTCTGAAGTTCTCCCCAACATCTCCTTTCATATGAAAGGATAACAATTAATACCATACAAAATTGTACTTTGTATCCAAGAAAATATCACTGGAAAAGCTTTTTTTTTTCTTTCTTGAAAACACCAGATAACCAGGCTGTCTGCCTAGGAGCTAGAAATTCTACTTGCAGAAAAAACTGCAAAGCATGCCCAGGGAAATGAGATTTTATCGTGGAGAAGCACAGACTGGAGGGCAATGACCTCAGGTAGCTGTGCTACAGTGGAAGCCAGAACTTGATGCACACACGTGCCACCAGGGAACTGGGAAGAAAAACTTGTGGGAATTATTGTACTTTGCCTGTACAGTGTTGGTCACAGCCATCAAGGAGCTGCAGTCCCTCAGAATTCTTTCATTCTAAAGATGAACAACCCTCTGAAAAAGCACACAGGATCACCAAACCTAACTCGTTGGATTTTGCTGTTTCATTTAACCCAGGCAGGATCTGATATGATAAAGGTAAAACAGAAGCTTTAAACCTAAAGCTCAAGTTATCTAATGTTCTCCCACACCACCTGTGAGCTTCAGTGCAAGTCAGATATTAAAAAAACAAACAACAACACACTACACATTTGATCAGGCATACAAGTGAAGGCTATAGAGAAGAAACAAGAGCAACTTCAAAACACAAAAATTGTTTTCAACATCATATGATTTCAACTGCAAAAGCGTCATGCAAGAGTACAATCTAAGTTATTAAGTTACTATGATACCATGAACAAGGAGAGCACAGGGAATAATTAAACTTACAGAAACGTTTTAGTAAACAGAGTCAATGATCAGGAAGAACAAATGCACCTGAGAAACCCACACCTCTGTGCCATGGGCACTTGTTATCCTTACCCAAGTCTCTCTCTGGTTTGCATCTATGAATAACAGATGAGTTGCTGTAAGGTACAGAGTTCCTGTCAGAGACTTATTGCTGGTGCTGAACCTATCCAGTAATTTCACGTGCTCTACCTGTAAGAAAAACGTGGCAGAAAGCAGAACTTAATATTTAGCTGCTATGGTTATTTACTATTAAAGAGATCAAGGTGTTAGGATTTTATTTAGAAGTTGAATTTCTAAACATGTAGATTGCTGTATTTTATGGGAGCAATCTCACACATTAACCATCTTCTGTTGTTCACATCTCAGTACTGCATTAACAGCTCATCGCAGATACACACTTCTCCTCCAAACAACTGGCTGCACCCTTATCACAGCTACAAAAATAATGCTCTCCTGACTTCTCTACCACTGTTTATATCATTCCCAACTTCCTAAGTATAAATTACAACAACTTTTCCTCATAGATAAAGTAAGTAGAAATGCAAACATTATATTAGAAATAGAAAAATATCTCCCAGAAAGGCAGGGACTGTGCTCCCATTTGAAGAGAACAGACTTCAAATTTGAATCTTCCAAGGACACACTTCTCCTGGTATTTCATCAGCATTGTTTCAAAGCAAAGCAATTCTCAGATACCCTTCATCTTATCTGGTGCTGGTAACTTTAGTGGCTCGTTTGCTTTGTTTAAGACAACCATTACATGATTCCAGAAAGGAGCTGGGTGAATGGCTTATCTCTATGCATTCCTGTATTTCTTGGCAGCACTGGCTCATTAGCACTAATTTGAAGCCCAAAGCTTGATGCTGCTGCTCTACACTTGTGACAGAGCTCCAAAGGCTTTCAACCAGCAAGAAACAGCACCAGATCCAAGTTCACATCTACAGCATTGATGTTAGGTAGGTCTCAATTTACATAATTTACATGTACAAACTTAATTATCTACTAAAAACACATGCAAATCACTAAAAACAACAAAAATTGCCAGTTCAGTTATTTATTGCAATCTAGCCAAGTCTAAATTTCTTTTTGAAAATTAAAGAAATAAAAAAATCCATGTAATGCATCCAAGAGGATGCAGGAAATGCAAGCATCAGCTCACAGCCCCTGCTACTACAGTAGTCTAGATTTGGAAGGCAAAAAAAAAAAAAAAAAAAAAGGAAGTTGCATATATCTGTAACTCAAAATACGTTGTGCTGCAATCAGCAATGTACTAATGCTCAGATACAGAGCACCATAATCAATATAGTAGAGTGCAAACACTGAAATTATTATCCGCAGATCTGCACTGCGCTCCCCAGCAAACTGACAAGTGCACAGAAACTGCTCCAGGTGCGTTACAGTGATAAAGCCCACAGAATCCAAACATGCAAAGTTCTCTTCCTCTCCATGTAACAAAACAGTTATTCCCTAGTTCTGTCAGGACAGCATTAGTACTCCAACTCTAAGCTTAAAGTCTTCCAATTCTGAAGGCCAGTTTCTAGATGTACTTTGCTTAACGACAGGTTAAGAGCATTTTAGAAACAGCCACCATAGATGGTATGCTCAGCTAAACCCCACACGGCCAGATTTAATGGGCACTCAGCTAAATAAGCACACACCTACTTCAGGGACACGCTTGCTATTTTTTAACTGTAAAGCTCCACAAATCCTTTGTTCAGTTTTGAAGAGAATGGATTCATAACATACTGAAAATATCTCTAGAGTTTTAGCACATTTGCAAACAAGGTTCACTTAAGGAAGCAAAAGAAATGTTCTGGCAGTAACTAGCACTAACAAGTCAGTGATACGGATACCACATAATCAGATACCTTGCTAACATAACCCAATTTGTGTGAAAGAGAATAACCACACAGCTTGTTAGGACTGGGAGTTACAGATTGAAGACAAAAAATATAGAAATGTTTCAATATAACAGATGAATTACTACAGAAAGGAAAGCTAAAATTCACCCAGTTGCAAGCGGTGTCCCCCAGGGGTACTGGGGCTGCTTCTATTTAATATCTTTATTAATAACCTTGATGAGGTGATTGAGTGCAACCTCAGTAAGTTTCCAGGTGACACCAAGTTGGGAGGGAGTGTTGACCTGCCTGAGGGGAAAAAGGCACTACAGAGGGACCTGGGTAGACTGGATCAATGGGCCAAGGTAAACTGTATGACTTTCAACAGGGACAAGTGTCGGGTCCTGCATTTTGGTCACAACAACCCCAGGCAACCCTACAGGCTTGGGGAGGAGTGGCTGGAAAGCTGCCTGATGGAAAGGGACCTTGGTGTACTGATGGACGGTCGGCTGAATACGAGGCAGCAGTGTGCCCAGGTGGCCATGAAGGCCAATGGCATCCTGGCTTGGATCAGGAATGGTGTGGTGAGCAGGACGAGGGAAGTCATCCTGCCCCTGTCCTCGGCACTGGTGAGGCTTCACCTTGAATGCTGTGTTCAGTTTTGGGCACCTCAGTACAGAAAGGACACGGAGGTGCTGGAGCAGGTCCAAAGAAGGGCAACAAGGCTTGTGAAGGGCTTGGAGAATATGGCCTATGAGGAGAGACTGAAGGAACTGGGGCTGTTCAGTCTGAGGAAGAGGAGGCTGAGGGGAGACATTATTGCTCCCTTCCAAAGGTGTTAACAGCGAGAGCGGGGCTGGTCTCTTCTCACAGGTGACAGGATGAGGGGAAATGGCCTCAAGTTGTGCCAGGATAAGTTTAGGTTGGATATCAGGAAACATTTCTTTACAGAAAGGGTTGTTAAGCACTGGAATAGGCTGCCCAGGGAGGTGGTTGAGTCACCATCCCTGGATGTGTTTAAAAACTGTTTGGATGTGGTGCTCAGAGTCATGATTTAGCAGAGGGTTGTTAGAATTAGGGTAGGATGGTTAGGTCATGGTTGGACTCGATGATCCCTAAGGTCTTTTCCAACCTGAGTCTATGATTCTATTATTCTCTCTGATGTTCTACACTAAAGATGCTGAAGAATCACATTATATCAATTAATGAGATAAAAAGACACCATATCATTCAAAGACTTATTACCACTTAGATTTGGAAAAGCACATTAATCTCCCAGAAGTTGAAATGGGGTCCAACTCATGCCTACATATGCACAGACCTTGTATGGCACCTAGTGCAGAGGCCAGACTTTAGTAACTATGCCTCCTATAAGTGCAACAATCACAATTATTACAAGTTAGCATAGATGCATCTTAAACCACCCAGACATTCAAAATTAGCTTACGCAAAGCTAAGCAAGCATGACAATTATAATCAAAAAGACAAGTTATTTTAGCCATGAAACCCATTATTTTAAAGCAGATTGGAGGGGGGTGGGGGAGGAACAGGACAACACATTAACTCTATCAACTGAAACAACTGTAGGTCCTGTATCCTACAACTTGAATACAGTGCCTATTTCTCTCTTCAACCAGTTACATTGCTCCATAAAGGATTTTCCCAGCAGGGCCCCAAAATACACACTAGCACAAGGACTGGATGCAAAGAAGTCAGTGACCTGATCTGCAGCCTTTGTAGTCTCAAATTCAGGTTTAAAACTTAAACATCTACTCAGATCATTGAGATATTTTACTTCTAGCCTAGTTTTTATTTTGAAATTCACTACTGACTGTAATAATACATTGTGAAGTTTCCAGAAAAGGAGTGACAGGTTTATAAGTAGGCTGATTAAGAAACCTTATTCCCAACCTGCCCATTTGGCAAAAACATCCCAATCCAGTTAATTGAAGCTTTAGAGTAGCTTTGCTAGAGGTCATCCTACAGTTTTATATATACGCACATATGTATATATGAAAAGAAATAGGATGCATACATTTTGTATCAAGTTTTCACTCAGGTATTATACCCTCAAAATTAAAAGCCATTTCCCTTACACTGATTATAAATTTGTTGGACTTGAATATATGAAGAACGTGATAAAATACGCTACAAACCCAGGCTGCAGTCAGGCTGCCAGGCTACAAACTGCCTGCTTAGCGATGCCCGAGGCACCACAGAGAAAAAGGCACCCCTCACATCAGACTTAGCAGTAAAAAAAAAAACAAAACACTGCTAAGCTATGACCTGGAAAGAGCTCAGACGAATAATACAGATATAAACTACACATTTTTCATTATAAAGGAAAGCAATAGGATACAAATAGAAACAAAAAGAGCCTCATAAAAAGGACAGCTCAGCCTAGGAGCCCCCAAAGGGAAGCTGCGACCGAGAGGCCCGGCAGCACCGAGCGCCCCGCAGGCGGGGGGAAGGTAAGGGCTGCGCAGGAGGCACCAACGCCCTCACGCACCGGCGAGGCAGGGACACGGTGGGCCCGAACACGCGCCGGTACCCCCCACAAGCGACCATCCCAACATCAGCAGCACCGCCACCCCTCCCGCGGTACCGGGCAGTACCTTGGTGGTGCGGATGTGCTCCATGACGACCCCGAGCGCACGGCTGAAAACAGTGCGTGCTGCCGCCGGGCGGGGCCGGCCGTCACCTACTGCCGCTTCCGGGGCGGGGCGGGGCGGGGCAGGGCGGAGCCTGCACTAACTGCTTGCAGCGCCCCCTAGCGGCGGGAGGGTGCGCGGCGCGCCTTTACCACTTGCTGCGCATGCGCCTTCAGGAGGTGGTGCCGTATTGGGGGCGTGAAGGCAGCTCGCGTGGTGGTGGGAGTGTTGTTTCGTGATGTGCCTCGCAGTGCCTCAGGGCGTCTTCGTGGGAGCTGCGGTCGGGGAAGAAGGGAACGGGCGTGCAGTTCCAGAGCTGTGGAGCTCAGCGCTGGCTGCAGAGCTTCTCCTGGCAGCTGCTATTGGGGAGACTGGAAAAAAGGACCATTCCCTGCTTCCTTAGGCCTTGTGTGGAGCAGAATCAGAATCGTTGGGGTTGGAAAAGATCGTCCAGTTCAACCTCAACTCATCCCCCCGCACCGCTTCCCACGTCCCTCAGTCTGCAGCCTCACAGCTCTTGAACGCCTCCATGGAGGTGACCGCACCACCTCCCGGGCAGCTGTGCCACCGCCTCACCGCTCTTTCTGAGAAGAAATTTTTCCTAATAACCAACCTGAACCTGCCCTCCAACCTTCTCCCCCATAGCAGCCCTTTTTAACACAACGCATGCTGGCAAACGGGGAATTTTTAGTTTTAGGCTGTCCTGAGGTTACAGTCACACGCCTCGCCGCTGTGTGGGTGCCAGCATACAGAGCCCTGCACCGCAATTAAATGATAAAGCAGCTTAAACGATGGACTGCGTTGCCAGCTCTGTTAAAAATAGCGCAGCGCACAGGTTTTATACAGAATGAACTTCTTTTATCCGCTTCTCAAACGCTGAGCTTTCAGATAACTGAGCGGTGATGCCCACGGCCATCAAACGTTATTAAAATCACGTCCTTAACGAGCCCCGTTTCGCGTTACACCACACGAGAGCGGCAGGCCGCTTTCCCTCCAGCGATCCTCGAGGCGCAGGGCCGGCAGCTCGGGGCGCTGTCGCTTTAAGAGCGGACGGTCGCGGTGCCGCCATCCCGTGGTGCATTGCGGCGGGCGCGCGGAGGGAGCGTGCTCCGTGCCCGCCCGTTCTCCCGCTGCCGCCCTCGCGTTCGGAGGCGTTACGGGGCGCCATGTGGCGCTGAGGGCGCCGCCGCTCCTCGGGAGGCCCCCGCCGCCCTGCCGAGACCCCGCCGCCGCCTGACGCCGTCTCTCAGCTCCGCTCCGCCGCCGTTCCCGCCGCTGCCGCCATGTCTGCGGGCTTCTCCTTCGGCGCGGGCACCCTGGGCTCCGCAGCGGCCGCCGCCGCCGGGGCTGGAGGAGGAGGCGGGGGCGGCGGGTTTTCCTTCGGCACCACCGCGCCGAGGTAACGCGGCCTTTTCCCCCCAGTCCCATCGGCTGGACCCTGCCGCCGGCCTCCCGTACCGGCCCGGCCCGCGTGGGCCTCGGGGTGGGCGGGCGGGCGTGCGGGCAGTCAGGCAGCCCCGCGCCTGGGTCTCCTGGCGTTTTTCCGGCCGCCTGCACGGCGCCGCGTGCTGCGGCCCTTGGGCGCGGGGCTCCGTCCGGCCCTGTGCCCGCTGCGTGCGGGGAAACGGGGCGCCGCTGCTGTGCGCTGAGCCGCGCGGGGCTCTGTGAGTAATAACTGAGTGAGGGGTTGGCTTTTTCTTTTCCGCGGACGTGCCTGCAGACGTGTTAGTGCGTACCGTTTTTTCTCATCTCCTTGTGCTGTGCTTCTGCTGAAGTTTAGGATTGTTAAGTGGAGCTTTGGAGATTTCTCAGTGTTTTGGAGCTCTTCCCAAATCTGATTGTGCCAAAATAGTTGCTGTACTATAAGTGGGCTACTCAGGACGTTGATCTGGAATGGGTATGTTTCAGAACGCCTGCCCCGAAACATTGGCAGCAGGAAGGGGATGGGGGATCTTCATAGGATCCTTTGAGTTCGATCACCTTTAAGGCTCCATTATCCGAAAGCGTCTTCTGGAGGTTGGTGGCACTGCCTGTGGGAAGGGGGTTGGATCTTGATGATTCTTGGGGTCCTGTCCAACCCAAAGCATGCTGTGATTCTGGGTTTAAAGGGCATTATTGCTGTTTGGAACCACTTATGGGAGGGGCAAGGCTTCAGAGTCTCCTCTGATACCTTAATTGTCCCGTCCTCACAGATTCATGATGTATTTGTGCGTATTCTTTCCACTACAGTAAAGCTTCTGTTGGCTTTGTAAAAAATTTTTCCGAGTTCCTTTTGTCCCATACCTGTTTAATACTGAATTCCTATGAGTAAAGTGAAACAGTTCCATATTTTTTTTAATTCCAAACCATTATTTTAAATCTACTGTCATAATTGAGAACTTCTTTTGTTTGGTTGATGCAGTTAGTACAAATTTCCTGTAGCACTTAAATGCTTTTATAGGTGTTTATTTTTTTTGCTATTCTAGCTGGCTTTTTTTATCTGTTTTTTTTTCTTAAAAAAAAGTAAGTATATAACAGATGCTAATTAATAGCAAAGATGTACTTGGCATTTTTATTCATAACTTTATTTCTACAAGTAGGCTGAGTCTTTAGGGCTATTGGTCAGGGAGCATCACAGAAGCAGAAGCCTTTTCAGTGTTGGGTGGTTAGTGAAAGAATCTTGAGCATCTCTGTGGGGTGGTTTACTTGAAAATGTGTTTAAGACTTAAAGAAGCTGATTCTCTTCTCTGCAGGGCTGAAGGCAATATTGCCAGGTGCGAGGGGAAAGGGGACTTTATTCTGTTGTCTAATCATAGGTTATTACTGATCACAGTGATCAGTCACACTATATTCTTGTGTCTTAAGGAGTATGGTATGGCAGCCTATGTAATTCCTGTGTTAAATCTCTAGTAGTTCCAATAGTTCGTTTATCAGTGTACTCCATATCCAACTTTAGCCAGAGAGAGAGCCAAAGCTAAAGAAAGTTGAAAAGGAGCTTCAAGATCCCCATTGTTTACTCTTTCCTTTTGCTTACTTACAAGTGTGCCCTGGGCAGCCTGATGTAGTGGATGACAATCCTGCCTATGCCAGGGGATGGAGCTGGATGGACTGTAAGGTCCCTTCCAGTCTAAGCCATTTGTTCTAGCTCCAAAGTCAGAGTTTTCCTTTGGAGCCACCGTGCTAAAGTGATGCCTTCCATCTGTGGGCAGGTAGTAAATAATCCCGGTGGTCCATGCTTTCCTATGCTGCTATTGGTTTGCGTCTATGTTTTGGCTTAGTTAAACTTTGATTATTTTTAAATTTCACTGTATGTTTGGTTTTCGTTTTCTCCATAATGCTGAGCTGCATCAGTTGTGCCTTAACTTTCTTCTGCTAGAATGCCAGGACTAGGAAAAAAATCATAGAAAAATCATCCTTTTCTGTAGTGGGAAAAGATGAGAAACAAGCTCTCAGCAAGTGAGAGAAGCACCATATTGTATATTCAGGTTGATAAACAATTAGAATGTACTGCTACAGTTTGGCATCTTGAAATTCTGAGAGTAAAAAAAAAAAACTGAAAGCTTTGAAGCTGGACAATTATTTGGCTTTTGTCTTAACTTCTTGGCCTCTGTTTCCTGAGCTACTTACTTTTAAGGATGACTCGCACTTAGATCTGATCCTGTTAAGTGATGCAAGTTCAAGATGTGTAGGTATTTCCAGGACTTCAAGTGTAGAAACCTGTGTCAACCTTCTTAAGGATAAACTCTTGTAATTAATTGGTTGGGCACAGGAGCTGTGCTTGTACCAAAAGAGAGGAGGTGAGGGAATAAAGAGAGGATATTAAAATCTGAAACTTAAAACAATCTGTAAAGACTGTTACGTTGAAGTCTAAACTGTGCTTTATTTCATTGCTACTGTTGTACTCTATGCCACATGTCTCAGTTGAAGGAAACTTGCGTAGTTTATTAAGAGGTCTGCCTGTGGGAGCTGAAAGTTACTGTAAAGAAATCATTTACGTTGCTTTTCATCAGTTAAGAACCAGAATTTTGTAATCTTAAGATTTATGTGGCTGCTAGTACCTGTCATCTCACAGGTTAGAGATAATCATGACTGTGTTCCCCATATATTCTGTGCAGTAACTTAATGCATTCTGTGCACAGTGTAAGGTTTGTCCTGTGTTTGCCATTAGATCTCTACAGTGTGTAGCTACCCAAAAGAAATAAATGTTTTCCTTTTGATTGCTAGATTCTGAGTCTCTCCTTTCTTTCCTGTATCTTCCCAGTGAAAGTAGCTCTGGGAGTTAATTTCTTTAATTGGATTGCACAATATACTTTTAGAAAAGAAAATATTTGAAATGTAGGTATGGCTCATCTGTGATTTGCATTTATGGGCTACAATAGCAGTTTTGTTCCTGTTTCTTGCTAAGGCAGGACGAAGTTGTGCTGTTGGTGTGATGTGTCTGTATGCTTGCTGCTTCAGAATGAAGTAGTGCGGGTTGAGGTTTCTGGCTAGACATATCTAAGAGTACTTTCAGTGTGCTTTGTAAAGATGTTCCTATAGGTTTGTCATCTGTGCTCCAGCAATAGCACTTGATCCTCTGTTCCTGTAGTTCAGGGGAAATCATTGGGCAACTGACAGAGAAGTGCAAGTTTTTGGCTGTTCTAGCCAGATGTATCAGTTCAGCAAAGTATTCAGCAGGTGCTGGACTCTGAGTCACAGCAGCTGTGGCTTCCAGGTAGCTGTACTGGTGAGGAAGATGGATTTCTCTTTGTTGGAGTAAGCTCTAACTGTCCTGGTCAGCTGTGTTCTGTTAACTCACAGAGGTGAAGTGTGGGAAACAGAAATGAGGGGGTTTGGATTTTTTCCTTTTAAGAAATATTAACAGTCTTATTTTGTAATAGCTCTACAGGAGGACTTAATTTTGGAACTCTGGGTTCTTCCACTGCTACAGCAACTACATCAGCTCCTTCAGTGGGATTTGGGAGCGGACTTTTTGGATCAAAACCAGCCACTGGCTTTACACTGGGAGGCACCAGTACAGGTAGGAAAAACACTTGTACAGCAGGTGTGTGAAGCAGTGGTAAAGAAATGTACTATATGCACACAAAAACAG